GGCCTCCTTGGGCCAGCGGCCGGGCCTGCCTCGGCCTCAGGGGGGCACGGCTCCCCCTCCGCTTCGCCTGGCCTCGATCCCGGCTGCTACCGTAAGGTTTCACTCCTCTACTGGCCACATCTTCCCACTGTCTCGCTCAAGCTGGATCACTTAAGCTGATCCAGCAGAAGGAAAAAAAATAAAAATAGCTTTTGTTGTAACAAGGTGGTCAAACTCGCCGTGCTAGGGTAGATCTACTGTAAGGATGATGGTGGGAAAAAGTGACGAGGTTGTCCTTGCCAAAAAGCAAGGAACAGAGGTCGCTTTTTTTGGTAGTAATCTTCATTTAGATGAAATATATCGCTGAAGTCGGCACCGTATGTTAAAAGCAGGTGCTGCCCTATGGGCTCTCTTTTTGTTTGTTGAATAAGCTTGAATGGTTGTGGTTAGTGAGATGCAAGTTTGCAACAGAAAGGGTTGGTTTCTTCAGTATGACAGCTGGGTGCTGACCTGATGAAACGGGTTACTTGAAGGCCAGCTGACACAGTTCAGCTTTTTTTTTCCTCGGGAAGAGAAATAGGAGGAGGGAGAAGAAGGTGGAAGGGAAGATGTGGTTAAGCCTGCAAATAAATATAAAAAGTTTCTGCAGAGAGGTAAAAATAGCCTGAACTCCACAGGTCTTGAAAGTAAGACAGGAAATATCATGGTTAAATTTTGGTGAAGTGGATCTACGTGAGGCAGTAGGAGGAATGAGGAGGATAGTGAGGTATTAAATCAGCAAGACATTCATCAGCTGATTTTTGTTAACAAAACTTGTTATTTTTTTATGGATTTTTTTTTAATTATTGGATAATAAATTCTGATCCTGTTCCATTTGCACTATGTTGGTGATATTCTTTTCACCTTTAGAGCTTATTATTTATTTCTGCTTAGTCATTCGTGTTTTCAAACTGTTACATTATTTTGTGAAAATCTTTCCTTTTTCCCCTGGCAGTTTTATTTAAGAGTCTTTGGTGAGGAACTTTGTGGAATAATCTGTTTGGATCTTCATGGTTCATGTGCTCATTGATGCCTTCAGAGAGCTCCATTTGTTCTGAGAGGTTTTTGTTTGCAAAGATGACAAGAACTTAACGTTATTAACATATTTATAATTCCAACATTTTGCTATTTGCCAGTAGTCTTCTTCCCTGAGAATGTTTTTATCTTTCCAGTTGTTATCTGGTAATTACTTTATCATTAATAAATAGGAAATAGAAAGCAGTGTTCACCTTGGACTTCAGCTGTCCGATTTATACCTGTTGCTGTCAGATGCTAGTTTACTACTTAGCGCAAATGTTTTTATTAAAGTTTTGCATGCATGAGTGAAAGTGGGGAAAGATGGAAATAAGGATTAAGAAAGAGAATGGTAGTAGACCCACATGCATCATTTGACAATCTGCAAGAAATGGAATTGACCTGTTTTTTAAATGTATTTAGGCTTTTTTTAAAAGAGAGTTTGGAATTTTGCACTAGTGATTGCTTTAGATTAGTATAGTCATTTAATTTAGCAAACTGATAAACTATGATACCAGTTCTAACCCATGAGATATTTGTCACGGTGATTTCACTGCTGTGAATTTACAGTCAAATTTTTCTTACAGTCTACTGAAAGTGATACTCATAATTTGTAAGTCACTCCAAGAGGAAGGAAGTGCAATAAAATCCTTTGATTGAAAATTATGATTGTACATGACAATAGAATCATAGAATGGTTTGGGTTGGAAGGGACCTTTAAGGATCATCCAGTCCAACCCCCTTGCAATGAGCAGAGACATCTCCAGCTTGATCAGGTTGCTCAGTGCCCTGTCCAGCCTGTCCTTGAATATTTCCAGGGACAGGGCATCTACCACCTCTCTGGGCAACCTGTTCCAGTGTTTCACCACCCTCATTGTGACAAATTTCTTTCTTTTGTCTAGTCTGAATCTACCTTCCTTTAGTTTAAAACCATTACCCCTTGTCCTGTCACATCAGACCTTGCTAAAAAGTCTGTCTCCCAGCTTTCTTATAAGCCCCAGTTTAGGTCCTGGAAGGCTGCTCTAAGGTCTCCCTTGAGCCTTCTCTTCTCCAGACTGAGCAACCCCAACTCTCTCAGCCTCTCTTCATAGGAGAGGTGCTCCAGCCCTCTGATCATCTTTGTGGCCTCCTCTGGGCTTGCTCCAACAGGTCCATGTCCTTCTTGTGTTGGTGGCCGCAGAGCTGAAGGCAGTACTGCAGAGGGGTCTCACCAGAGTGGAGTAGAGGGGGAGAATCCCCTCCCTCGACCTGCTGGTCATGCTGCTTTTGATGCAGCCCAGGATATGGTTGGCTTTCTGGGCTGTGAGTGCACGTTGCCAGGTCATGTCCAGCTTTTCATCTGCCAGTACCCCCAAGTCCTTCTCCATGGGGCTGTTCTCGATCACATCATCCCCCAGCCTGTACTGATACCTGGGGTTGTCCTGACCCTTGTGCAGGACCTTGCACTTGACCTCGTTGAACCTCATGAGGTTCTCACAGGCCCAGTTCTCGAGCTTGTCCAGATCCTTCTGGATGGCATCCCTCAGGCATGTCAAATCAGTGATTTGAGAACTTTCTGCATTCATGGAAATAAATATTAGAAACAGGTTCCCTGTAATATTTTCTAAGTAACAGTAAGTATTACTGTTACTCTGTTTTTTGTCAGGTAATGAAAAACACAGTATTCACGTTGCTTCTCAACAAGAAGATGGTGAACCTACGCTACAAGACATGGCTGTACTTATTGAGCAAGTCACTGGAGTTCCAGTTCCTTTTCAGAAACTGATATACAAAGGTAACTTACAAATCTGTCAATGTTTCTTAGAGATGATACCTTTCTTCTTAGTCACTTTCAGGTGCCCATATTTTAAATGTCTTCAAAAAGACATTCTTCTGCCACTAACTAAATTTTAAGTGTGTTTTTCAACTTTTGTTTTCCATTTAGGGAAGTCTCTGAAAGAACTGGAACAACCGTTGTCAGCGCTTGGTGTTAAAAATGGTTGCAAAGTCATGTTGATTGGGAAAAGGGTAAGTGTTGCCTTTGGACTTTTTTTTTTTTTCCTTAAATTATTGTAATTTCTGTCAGTGATTCATCTGCTGAACACAGAAACAGGTTACAGGGTAAACCTAATCTTGTATACCTGCCCACAAAGTTGAGTTCAATCTCATGTTGTACTGCAAATAACTGCAGTTTTTACATTTCTGAAATTACATTATTAACAAAATTCTGCCTAATCTGTTGCTTGTCAGTGCTCATGAACCTTCTGTGCACTGATGATGTTATTTGCTCATCTTATTTTTCCAGTTAAAAAAAAAACCTCAAGCTACTGAGTCTGCTGGGTTATTTCTACTGAAATGACTTGTGGCTGGCTTTGCCAAGTAGAGGGCAAGGTAATATCTTGTGATAGAAGTATTACCTCTACTTTAAAGGTGGTATGCTAACAAAAAAGAAGTTTACACTTTTCATTTTTCTCTTCAAATTCATCTCATTTAATGTGTTTATATACATTGCCACTTTGACTGTATTTTTGGAAGAAGCTTATTTGATAGGTATTTAAAATATGGAAAGAATAACCACAGTGTAGTATGTATTTTAAATCAGTAGAAACTTTTAGTCTGTATCACTACTGTTGCTGCTTTTTAGCTGCATAGTGTCTCTGTTTGTTCCATAGTTGTAAATGTTATACTTTTGAATACACAGAATAGTCCAGAAGAAGAGGCTGAATTAAAGAAGTTAAAAGATTTGGAGAAGTCAGTGGAGCAAATAGCTAATAAGTTAGAGGAAGTTAATAAAGAGTTCACAAGTATCCAGAAGGTATGCCAGTTTTGTATCATTTTGTATCTTTGCAAAACAGTTTTGTAGGTATATGTATTTTAAAAAATCCTGTGTAAAGGTTTGAAGTAGTCAGTAATAGGCTGCCCCTTCTAACTGTCCAAGGGTCCTGTAAAATTCTTACTGAGTTTCAAATGCTATTTATGAGTTGGCAAAATAGAGACATGGTACTGTTTGGAAAAAGGTGAATATTGTTGCATATTGGATAAATTATATTCTTTAGATCTGGAAAAACATAAAGAGTTCTCTCAAGGTCCAAAGGAGAATGTCTGTTTAAGTAAACCTAGCACATTTTGCATTTAGCATTTCAAGGATTGATAGAATACAGATTGAGATTGGAGTCCCTATCGTACTTGAAATTACAGAAATGCTAAAAAATGTTTTCTGCTGTTGTGGGTTGCCAGATTTTCTAAGCTGGGGTATGGAATAATTTTGTCTTGCCTTACTTCTTTTTCCTCCTCAGGGATTTTTAGCAAAGGATCTCCAAGCAGAAGCACTAAAACAGCTGGACAAGAGGATAAAAGGAACTGCAGAGCAGTTCATGAAGATCCTGGAACAGATTGATGCAATTGTAAGTAAATAACCACAGAAGAGGGTCAAATCTCAAGAGAAACTTACTGTTAAGAGTATATCTTTCATGTAATTTATTTGTTATTTTAAAATACTAAAACATTGATTTTGGCTTTGAAAATTAGTTAATTGGTTTGCTCATTTTTTCTTTAATATCCAGCTCTTGCCCCTGTATGTCTCCAAAAGGCTACTTGGCAGCATCTATTTCTAAATGGTGACATTAATGCCTGTGTATGCATCCCCATTCTACAGAAGAGCTTCATTTGGGGCAGCAGCCTTTTAAGACTACATGAAATGGGTATCCTTTACTCAAGTTTTACCCTTTTAGTTTGTCTTGGCAACCTTTCATGTTCAACTTCATGGTAACAGTAAAGGTCTGGAAAAAAAACCCAGATACACTTTGTCCTCTGTATCGCATAGGAGCAAGGAGATCCTGAAGACTGAAGAATTTTCTGGTCAGTCATAGATGGACTGACAGTACTTTTATTTGAGATGCCTGCATATTAAGGACTGGATTCTTTCTTTGAAATGTACTGGGGTATATACAAGTGCTTCACAGTCATTAATGGATCATAACCTTACAACATATTTCCAGAGTATAATATGTATCTTCCTGTATTGTGTAGTAGCTGAGAGCTAGGTGAGAATAAGGGATTTGTGCAGAGATAAATAAAGGTTGTGGCAACTAGGGTTTTTTAATCACCTTACTCTGTTTCTCTGTCTGCTGATCATTCTCTGTAAACTTCATTATATAATTATGTTGCATATCACAATCATAATATCCTGCTCTGAAGGAAGAATGCTGCTTTTCTGTAGTAGTGATGTATTTGGGTCTACTCCTTTGTACAGTGACCCTTTATGGGATTTCAGAAAGTTTCCATGCAAATGCCTGTAATTGATGAACCAAATGTAGTTTCATTGGTGGACACTTTGAAAAAGTTCAGCAGCAGACTAAATCAAAGAGTAATAATTTGAATTGGCCATTGTCTAATGCTATACAATAAGGATGTGTTCCTAGGAATGGTGGAGAGCTCATTAATTTATGTCCTGCTTTTATATCGTGCACTTTTAATGGTAAACTAGCCTTTACTATTTGTTACAGCCAACAGTTCTGAAATAGTTCTTTAAAAATTGTAATACGCTAAGTATTTTAAAATCTTAAAATTTCTCTTCCCTTTTCTGCCTCATATAGAGGAAAATATTTTGGTTACAGTTCTTGAACACTGTAAGACATACAGACTTCGTATAACTGATTCCCTGTTTGAAGTGGCAGATTTGCTATCTGTTATCATGAAAATAGCAATAAGATGACAACTGTTTCAATTGGATGGGATTAAACTTTATTTCTGATCCCTTCAATTTCTGATGCTAAGTCCTATTTAGAAAAAAGTCAGTACTCGTGTGCTGGTGTACAGTTCTGGAACCCAGCAAGCAGACTTGAAAAAACCTCTCACTGCTTCCTAATTAATCCAAACTGAATTTCCCAAGTTTACTTTTGATTCTGGTACTTTTTGCATGGCTTAAACAGAAAGTGTGCTATTATCTATCTCCTTAGCCAAAGTACTCTAAACAGTACTGGACAAGGGACTTTGAGGTTTACTACAAGATTTTAGAAGACTTACAACATAGTGACTTCATGTTTGGATTAAGGAAATAATGGAGTCCCTATGCCTCAGTTTTGTTTCTTGTGGGAGTGGAGCACTCAGAGCTAAAACTAATTATAATTAGTATCTTTTAATATTTGTAATAAATGTTTGTTACTTTGTTTTATAAGAGCGTATGACATTGATGAGCCTCATTTTTTTAAAGCGAGAAATAAGTGAGGGTTTTTATTACAAGTGATTGAAGTTACATTACACATACCAAAGTCCATGTTTGTTTGTTTTAATATACAAAGGCGACTGTGGTTTTTGTCATGAAAACTGAACCTCTGTGAAACTTCTTTGAAATCTTGCAGATGAGATAGGTGTAGCTGGATGGAATCTTTACAGAAAATGTAGCTGTTTGGTGTACTGGTATTACACCAGATCAGATGAACAGGCCACCAACTTCCTGAGGTATTACGTAGCTGTACTATAGTTGTGCAATGTACAGAGGTAGCAACACAGAATGATAATGAGGTATGTATATGAACAATAAATGGGTTCCACTGAATTAAAAAATGGTAAATAGAAATGCAAAGCAAGAAAGTGTAAAGCCTCCAGAAAGTGTTTTATTTGTATCTCAGAATTGTTTTATACAGTATTTGGTATTCTTTTTGTTAGCCAAGTAAAAAGCAAGTTCTGACAAATCTCCTAAATGCTATTGACCATATAGATGTGCTATTGATTCAATCAACAGCATGTTAAAAAAAGATAAGGGGAAAAAAGTGACTGAGCGAGCTGTTCTCTGCTAAGACAGAGGAATGGATGCATTGGAGAAGTGAAATGTACAAGCAAGCTCACACTATAAATGTTCCAGTTTGGTTTTTTGGCAGAATTGTTGTGAAAGCTTTAAAAAGTGTTTTGGCTATTATGCCTTGTTTGGATCAATCAAAAACATCTAGCTTGATACAAAATGAGATTTGTATGGTTACAGAGCTAAGGATGAGGAAGCTTGTGTATTTTTTTCTATCTGTTCTAAGGGTATCACCCTCTTACTGTTAACAGACAAGCTCGTTAATTAGAGGAGCTGAGTTTGGAAATAATACTGCTTTTTACTAGACTCCATGTGTTCAACAGCTGTGCATTTAAAAGGAGTGATTTAGGAAGTGGAGAAATAGGTTGGTACTCATACAGTATTGGGGTGGGAGAGAAAAAATACAGTGCTGTCACTGCCAGAGGTGTGCAAGGAAAGTCTTGAAGGGATGCTTTTGAGTAGAGTAGCTGTACCTTAAACATTGTAACATTAAATGTGTTTAAATAGCTGTTGCTTCCACAGCAGGAAGGGTAGAGGGATCTTAGGAGCATCTTACAAATTTTTGAATGCTGTGATGCAGTCAGGTATTCCCATAAGCCACAGATCTTTGAAGTTTTCTTCAGGAGGAATACAAATTGATTCTTGTTCAACAGTTGAAGACTTGTGTGTGTACATCACCAGAAATGCCATTTATTTCAGCAGTTAAAATATTTGGTCCAGGAGTAAAAGTCAAAGTATACTACTTATTACAAATCTCAGTGAGTAGAACACAGAAAATCCTTGACTTTTTTGTCAAATCAGCTGGCACAGTTTTTTAAATAGCTGAAAGGCTTTTTCAGGAAAAAAAAGGAAAGCTTTTCTGAGATCAGTAGGAAAATTTAAATCCACAGTCATGACACTATGTGCTTCTTGTGAGCCAGCTCTAATTTACATGAAACCTGTCATCAATATTGCAATTAGAGAGATTACTTTGTTCTCATGATGGTTTCTTATTAAATGGCAGATTTGTAATCTAGAAAGACAATACTGCAGAGAACAGATTGTTCTAACAACTGAAGAAAAAGCTTTCTCTTTTGAAATACCAGTCACTGATTTTGTTTACATAAGTTCATGAAAAAATCATCTGTCAAACTGCATGTATCAATATTGAGGACATTGATAACATTACTGACTCATAATTATGTTCTGGTGGCCCATCCTCTTTTCCTGAGGATTTTTTCTTGGTTATAATTCCTCTGTAAAACTTACTTAAATTACTGTACTGTTCTGATGAAGCTTTTTTTCACTGTCTCCTTATCTCTGCTATACTTGTCATCTGGTAAATCAATACCAAAGTAACATTTCAAGGATTAAAAGAAAGAAGTATTCTGAAAAAAGAAAATGATTGTGCCTGTAACAAACATTTCCCACTCTTCTGGGTAGTCTTGCCACTTACAATAACATGAGAACTTATTACTAGACCTTTGAATTTATCTGGATAAATAAACATTTGATAAGCATTTCTTATTATAATTCTTAAATCTCTTAGCATGAATCATAAACATTTTAAAATCAAAGCTTCAGGGGAAAATTTCTCTAAAGCACAAGGAGCATGAAAATACTATCATTCATCAGCAAGGGTAGAATGCTTAGTTACCACTTCTGCATTCAGAAAACCCATTGACAAATGCTGCTGTTTAATGGCTGCTTTTAAAGAAGCTGCTCAGATGTCTACTGATATGAAAAAGATTCAGTGCTAACATAATGTACTTACCCAATTTAGCAATTTATTTAACAATAAGTTAAAAATAGTGAAGGGCTTGTAGTCGATAAAAACTACACACTAAAATACTGTATGTTGTTTTGTCTTTTTAAAAGAAACTGATGAAAAAGCTTCTTGTTAGATGGATGGGGTGTCAGCAAAAAATCCTTTTTTGCAACTGATTAATATTAGTGCCATGTGTAGCAGAGTGATTTATTTTTTTTTTTAAGCAATTTGATAACAAACCCAAAATGTTTCTAGCTATTATTGCTAGTGACTGCTAGTGTAGGAGGTCGCCTGTTTTAAGATGGTGTCCTTTTCATTCTGATAAGATAGTCATAAATAATAAATTTGACTAGCGTTTTTTTTCTTTATTAACTGACTACGCTACTATAAAGTACATTCAGGCATTGGATGTTACCTGCTGGGATCTGTGGTTTGGGAAATAAGAAGTAACCAAGGAGTAGAACAAAGATATGGTGGTAACACTAAGCTTAAAAATTGTTATTGGAAACACTTCCAAAACAAATGGAGCTTGAGCAGAGCTGAAGGTGATGTTCTGTGACAAAGGGAAGTGGTTTTATTAGCAGATCAACTTGGGAGCGGGCAAAGAAATGACAAGAGAGTCTCTATTTTGTAAGAAGCAGTGCTCAGGAGAGAGGGATGCTGGGTTCATAGTTAAAAGAACACTCAGGAATAGAGAGGACCTAGAGGCAGGAAAACGCACACACACAAATTTATTATTCTGTAAATGGTGATTAGTTTTAATGATTTCTTGTACAAAGCATGAGTGTTGTGCATGCAAAAAATGAGCCTTTGAGCATGTAACATGTGTGCCTCTGCAGTGCATCTTGTCAGTGTATCTGCAGGGTGAGAACTCTGGAAGAGAAGCAACTCTGAAATCGGAGGGGTGGGAGATCGCCCCTCCTAACAGGGGGATTCAGGCTCTGTTTCTGGGTGGATGGAGGGAGGATAAAGAACCTGTGCCCAGGAGTTCTACAGAAGCTACTGGGGTGAAGCCAGCACTGCAATCACTTTTGAAAGTTTAAGACCATGCAGAGCAAAGACTATGAGACTTGACCAGGGTTTTATCACAAAGAAAGTGTGATGCAAAGAGGAGACCTGCTATAAAAGTAAGAATATGCTGTGCA